AAAAAAAAAATATTCTGTAATTGTGAGATGAGTTATAAACATTCCAAGAGTTGTTCAGACTTTTGATCCCAGTCATTTGTTGCTTTTGCCACAATATTTTGGTTGAGCCATTCTACAGCCTTCTTCAAGTGTACAATGTCTGTGGAAAGAAAAACAAGGGTCTTTTATTAAAATCTCTGGCCCGATACTTTTAACACTTTCACTGCTGCATTGTGGCCTGGCTGTGCTGGTCATTCTTTTCAGGTCAAAATAGGAAATTGAAATTTACTGGAAATAGATGACTATAAAGATATTGATGGCAATTTCTTATTGTTGCCACTATTTTAATTTGGTTAGATACTCTGTAGTACACGCTAAGCATAACAAAACCTCCAACATGCAAAATAATAAAAAATACATCAGAAAGCAGGTCATATTCTATGCTGCTATGTCTAAAATGGTTTGGGAACGGCACTGAACACATGTTAGGTACTGACATTTCACAATGTCTTGAGTACAAGAAAGTGTATGTATGTACACATATAAATGAACAGCATGCAATACAAGTTTTGTAAAGACCTTTTGGTATGTCCACTGCAGTGAAAGTGTTAAATCTGATCCTTCTCATTAAAAAAAAATGTATTAACAATTCCATTTTGTTGAAAATAATCACACAGAAGAGTTGTGTGAACTTGTATATGGCTGATAAATTATTTATGAATGTGAGATCTTAATCCCCACATCCTAATTGTAAATTAAAACAAAATTATTAAAGTTAAATTAAAATTCAATTAACTACAAAAGAATTTTCATTCACTATGACTAATGACTATATTGAATTATATATATATTGCAAGTTACTTCAAAGTGAATCACAGCTTAGAAACAGAATAAGCAAATATGAAAGGAGGAAAAAAAATTGTTTAATATTCTTTGTGCAAAAAAAGATGGCTAAATTTTAGACCAGTCTAAAAAAAATAGAAATAAAAAAAAATACTATTAGATGCTGACAATATATATCAATATTTATTTATATTTCTTTGACTATTAACACTTCAGCTGCTGTTGATATACATCTTTACAAAACTTACATTGCCTGCTGTTGACATATACATACACTTTCAAGACACAGTAAAATAGGGTTCCCTCATATTTGTTATAACTATGTTTGTAATGTGTGTATATATATATATATATATATATATATATATATATATATATATATATATATATATATAAACAATGCAATGCAAGTTTTGTAAAAACCTCTTGGTATGTCTGCTGTAGTGAAAGTGTTAAATCTGATCCTTCTCATTAAAAAAAAGTATTAACAACTCCATTTTGTTGAAAATAATCACACAGAAGAGATGTGTGAACTTGTATATGGCTGATAAATTATTTATGAATGTGGGATCTTAATCCACACATCCTAATTGTAAATTAAAACAAAATTATTAAAGTTAAATTACTTTCTTGCAGAAATTTGTAAATTTAAAATTTTTCTTTTTAACATTATTGAGCAGGTTAGCAAGGGTCAATTTTTTTTTCTTTTTAAGTTTGAAAATAACTGGTAAATACATTGGACCCAGTTTTCATCATTTATTATACTATTTTATTATTAAATGAAGCATTTTCAGTTTATTTATCTTATGTAATTATAAACAGGGTGTGTGTGTGTGTGTGTTGGGGTGTAATGAAGATCATCTGTGAATGAGAAACTGAGTTTGAAATCCAGTTGATTTTGTTACATTCACTTCTGCACAAATACCCTTGGGGAAGGTATGAATCCATCTTTTCTCCCCACCCTTTAGCTAGGGGTTGAATAGCAGGATGGACTGGATCTGATAGCCTTGGTTGGCAACCAGTCTAGCACAAAGGAATGGCAATCTACTATGTGGATATTTTCTGTATAGTCAGTCATGAATTGAAAGAGACATGATTGCCCTAGCGTGTGTCACGCATGGCACTTGACTGACTGAATTATAATTGTGACATATCAGGAAAATAAAGAAAAAACTTTTTCAGTTAGATTTAAGCTTTTTTTAATGGGTGTTCCTTGTAGTCTAATCAGTAAGGCAGCTGTCAGAAGTGGATTTCTTGAGTCTTTTCCAAAGGTTACTGCTTTGTTGTGCCACTGATTGTGAGATGACTCTGAAAGTTGCAATGAAAAGTAAGACAATCTGCTTTATAAGTTTTCTTCTACATTGAAGGTTTCTCCTTAAAACTCAGCAATGCTTTTAATGAATTTCATAAACAAGTGCTGAAGGCTGTATTTCTTTTGGTGTCAGCAATTACAATCTTTTCAAGTTGCTTGTAAGTTAATGAAGGATTATAATTCAGTATAATCAAAAGCTTTGATATCAGATAAGTTATCTTGTTCTTGTCCCAATTCTAATCTATTCCCTTTTTACCTTGTAGTAGCATTTTGAGAGGGTGCTCCAAAAGCAATGCCTCTTAAGTATTTCCATAGAAACTATAATGCATATAGTTAAGTGGTTAGAACATTTGCTTTGTAACTATGAAACCCAGGTTCGAATCTCACCATGGTTGATTTGTCAGGAAGGAGATTTCCTGATGTTATTGTTTATGACGTGGCAGTCCCAGAGTGTGGCACCTTTGGAAAGTGCCTGAAAACCATACCACAGGTTGACCCAAGCCTTGTGAGTGATATTGGGTGGACAGTACCTTTGCGGTTTGTCGATAGCTGTGCTAGCACAAACTCACAAGTCATTGTGACCGAGGATTTGAGCATGCTGGCCTTGTTTAGATTGTTGATCATGCTAGATAGCATGCTCTTTCCCAGAAACTGTAACTAAGGTTGGCTCAGCATAGTTGCAGTATAAACCACAAGTGGGCTCTGTGGGTGTTGAACAAACACAAGATGTGCCTGGGCAAGCGTCTGCAATAGGGATTAGCTACAAAGTAGAAGTTTCTTCAAATACAAGTAGCCAGCTATATAATGCATATAAGGAACATAATACTATTAGATAGAAAAGGTTTTCAGCAACAAAACATTCCACCATTGTTGATGAATAAGAGTCTACATGTTGCACACATGAATATATCTTTTTCACACACATTGTCACTCATTACCCATTGCCTAACTGTGCTCACATCCACATTTTGGTCTCTATAAATATTTAGCAAGCATTGATGAATGTTAGTGGGTACATTTTTTTTTTCTCCACCTGGAGGAATTCAATGATATACATTTACTTTGTATGTACTTTCATGTCAGACTCTGCTTTGCCAGACTGTTGCTTAGTTGGTGATGAAGGGGTGTATATTTAAATTTAAAATGAATATTCATTAAGTTCTGTCCCCTCAAAAAAGGGAATATAACCACATTGATTAAATCTGTTCATTTGTCCACATTGTTAGTGTTTCTGGTGTCTCACCAGACATTTGAAACATTTTTGGAAATCATTCCATCAGGAAATAAAAGTTCTGCCCTCCACTTTTTCTTTTTTTCTTTTCACTTGTGTATATTTCTCATCAGGAAAATTGCTAATATTTGGACAATTCACACACTGTCCAAAAAATAAATCTCTTATTTGCATAGTAGAAAAATAGAATTTAAAAAAAAAAGAAAAAATAAACAATTTAATATATCTAGTCATTTTTAATGAAACCTGTATTAAAGAGGGCTTGCTGCCTAAATACACAACTAATATTGATATGATTGACATTTTTATTCTCTGTAAATTTTTGGTGTACTAGTTTGCACTAGCACTTCCAGGTGGCAGTGTCTGGTTTTAGGATTATTCAAATTTATTTATGAAGTTGGTAGAGTAAAATCACTGATTCTATGAAATGAGTACAATTGGAAAAAAAATCAGTTTTAAAATCTCATTTTTTAAGAGTATAGCCAAACTTTTTATAATCTATAAAAAGATTTAAATTTTCCTTGGGTCTGTGATATAAATTTTAACCTTTCTGATAAGATAAGTTCCTGATCTAAAGAGTAGTTCAAAAGTCTTAATTTATTATTTACATTGTTCATATTGTTGACTTCATCTTTATTGTCATATTCGGGACATTTCAGGTGTTATATGCTCTGTCCTTCTTCAGGTGATATTAGTTGGAATTTCAAACCAAATCCATTATTTAGTCTGCAGTGATTATTCTAATTCCACATACCACACCTTTTCTGGATATCTCAGTTTCGGTTACTTCCCCTTGGTAACTTGACTCTCCAAGTTTGTTTTTTTTTTTTTTTTAAATACCTCATTTTAGAAATATAGACATTTGGTTTTTCCTTTTGAATTCATCTGTTTCTTCTTCTTTGCATATTGATCTTATATATATATTATACAGAGTGATTGAAAAGTAACACCCTATTTTATGTATGATGGACTTGTAAAAATTATAATTAAATGTGAGAGTTCATCATACATAAAATAAGGAGTTACTTTTCAACCACCCTGTATAAGTAAATCTTAATAACTATGCTATTAAGTGTATTACAATCATCATGACCATTCATCAAACTGAATAAGAAAATCACACACTACCAAACTGACAAATTTTTGTCTTGATTGTTGTGGAGAGTCGAGTTACCAAGGGGAATTAACTGAAACTGAGATATCCAAAGGCATGGCATGTGGAATTAGAACAATCTGGAATGTACAATGGCTGAAACATTTTGAATATGGCAATAAAGAGGAGGACAACACTCCAAACAATGTAAATAGTATAAATCATGACAATACCACATTTCAGAAATATAGACAGATGTTGAAGAATAAACTGTTTTACATTTGAGCAAAAACTTTTTTTTTTTTTTTTTAAACTTGTTGAAATAAATTTTATTGATGTTACCTGACATTGGGGGGAAATACAATGATTAAAAAAATGTTAGTTTTGAGAAAACTCATTATTATTAAATTAACATTGTATTTATTTATTTTCTACTAACAAAAATATTAGTTCTGAGGAAATATAGTTTGTGTAAAACATTGAAAGTTTTGACCATTCTGTCCCAAATTATGCTTGCATGAATTTTTTACTTTCTTTTTCAGAGCATTGCAATTCACCAACGGTTCAGACGGCAAAACCAGGAGTACCAAAAGAACTTTATTGGAAGCTTGATTTTGTATTCAGTTATCATCTATGTTGTTGCTGCGGTTTTATTCTTCATTTTCTACTTTCCTCAATCCTGGAAAGATTGGCTTTTCGCTTCAATTCCATTACTTTTATTTCCAATCCTGTAAGTTCGTCTTTCGCTTTCCTATAAATTCAATCAATTCCACATTTTTTTTTTTGTCCAAATTATTTTTGGATTAACATTTTGTGTCAAAACTAATTTAATAATTCTTTGTTAGATGTTTTATTATTACTGATCATGAGTAGATAGTTGTCCCCAGCCATAATTTTTCAGCCATCCCTGTCCATACTCAGGCCTGGTGTTTACACTTCACTATCATTCTCTTGGGAAGAAAATATTAAGATTAAATGTTGGTGAAATAGTTTCATAACTTAATAGATCAGTACTTAAGTGCCTTGTCTACATTAAAATGCACAGATGTTGACAGGTGCATGTCCTACATGTTCCTGGTGTATAAAAATCTTAAAGGATGCAGTAACTTTGCCATCTGTGCAGCCTAGAAATGCAACTGAAGTTTTCCATGAAAAGCAATATGTTGCGCATTCTTTCAAATACTTTTTACTAGTTTTTCCTTTCTTTCTTTCACTTATCTTTCCTTCTTTTATTCAACGGTGGAATGTGTGGGTGGCATGAAATAGACATCAACATCGCCTTACCAGAAACTTTCTTAGTTTGTTTATTTTTTTTTTTATAAATTTGAACTTGTTGAAGATTGCTGATCATTGCTTTAAATGCTGTTTTTGTTTTAAATTGATGGATTCAATTGAAAAAAAAAACCAAAATATTATTCTGTCATCTCTTTACATCGTTTGGACTGTTGTCCTCTCATGTTTACTGTCATATTCATGATGTTTCTCCCATTTCACACTGTGACCTTCTTCCAATGACATATGGCCCAGTGGATAAAAGTGTTGGATGATTGATCCAAAAAAGTGACTTGACCCAAATAGTTGTAAGTTCAATCCCTGGCCTCAACAGAGAAAATAAAAAAATTGGAGAGTTATTAAGGCGAATTAACTAGAACTGAGATATCCAAAAGGAATGGGATGTGGGATTAGGACACTCTACCCCCCTCGTGGACTAAATAAAGGGTTTGATTTGAAATTCCAATAAATATCACCTGAAGAAGGCCAGAGCATTATGAATATAACAGTAAAGATGTAAACAACAGTTCGAACAATGTAAATAGTTACAATATCTCAAAAATAAAGACATCTTATTCTGTCAGTTTAAAAACTTTTTGTTGTAATTCCCCAAAAAAATATAGTTTCTTAATTGAACTGTGATTAAATGTAAATATTTTTTTGGTCTTTGTTTTGAATTTATTAATTTAATTAAAACAAAAAGTTGTACTATCAATTTAAGTGATTTGCCATAATTAAAATTATTTTTTCTGACAATGGCAAAAAAAAAAAAAAAATCAAAAAAAAAAATCTTAGTCTGTAGACCTGCAGTTTAACACTACAATTTAAGAAACTTTTGTTGGGACCCATTGAATTTCCCAGGGAATCACTCCTTTAAAAACTTACCAGGATCACTGAAAGCATGTGAAACGATTAGTTACTCAATTGCATGTGTTACACATGTTGTCTTTTGCTCATTAAACTTATGACAGAACCTATTTCAGGTAGAAAAATGTTTAATTCTCTACATATGCACTTTACTTATTTTACTTATGAGGAATTACTTACAGGATAGATATTAAAAAGAAGATAAAAATCGGGAGTTCCTCAGTTGCCACTCCTCATTTTTCAGAAATTTATTGAGGAAAGTAAAATAATTTTTTTGTTTGCAACAGACTAAAAAGGAACATAAAGAAAATGCAGAAAAATAAGATGATGTGTTGAGGGTTGTGGGGAACACTTAACAGATTGTTCTCTTAACAATTAAGGGAGAGATTGGAAGAAATTTAAAAAACCCAAAAAACTGAATAATGACAAGTGAGCCTATGGCCTCAAAAACCACAGCAGGGCAGGTGGTACATAATTTCCAAAACATAGTGAACCACAGGAATGTCTTTATAAGATACCAAATCTCTGACAATAGCAGAGTGAGTCACACCAAAAGTTGACTGCTGTTTGTTTTCCTGTCACCTTTATTGACATGAGACAGTTGACAAAAGACTCTGGGATCTGGACAAGTTGCAAAGAGGCCCATATCTGGATCCGACAAGCTGTTCTGCTGCTAACAGAAAAACCTGCATATAACCAACTGCGTGTGACTCTCTGCCTCTTTTGCATCTGTATTAACATGTGTTTGCCAGACTAAAAAATGAATTCCCCAAATCTGCTAATTAATACTTCAGTCTGCAATTGCAGAGCACCTCATACAAAATTAAGAGTGTGTGGTGTCCTACTGAAAGGACTTGTTCTCAAGTTCTGTACAGGACATATTCAGATTACCATGTGAAGGTTGTAGAAACAATTTTCAATAAATCCTGATAACTCATGTCTGCAGAAACAATGATTGCTAGGGACTCAATTTGGTTTGTCTGTAAAATATTCCTTTTTCAGTAGATTACTGACTTTGAGTATTAATTTTTCTAGTTTTCTTTTTAGTTGGATGTGCATGAAAAAATTATTTTACTTGACAGTCCTGAACAGTGAGGAGGTGATAAGCAGTTAACTTAGGTACCTCCACAAAATCGCTAAAAAAAAGAGCATAGCTTGATGAAAGACACCAATCTTGCCGAAAACAAAATTTTATTGTCTAAATGCTTATGTTATTATTAAGAGGAACGACCAAAGTTTTTTTTAATTATTTTTAAAAATTTTTCCTTCTTTTTAGAACATTCTAAATTTTGATTAAAAAAAACCTTGTTTCTATTTGTATCAGCGGAGCTAGTAAATAACAGAAAATTTTTAGCACGTTTTTTTGGTATGACGCACATTAATTTGAAAAATCGTGCAAAAATAGAAATAATTGTCGGATGTTAATGAAACTTTTAGGAACTATTCACCGATGATCGAAATTATTATAAATGTTTTTTTTTTTTTTTATTAAAGTCATGATATAAATATTTTTTTTAAATATTTATTACCCCCCCCATAACTAATTTTATGAAAACGCTAGAAATTTGATCGCATCGGGTTTAGTGATTACAATAATTAAAAGCACAGGGATTTGAGGAATGCAAATCATGTTTTTTTTTGTTTTTAATTGGATCTGCAGTACCTGAAAATCAGCTCTGAATTGTAACATACAAAACTCAATAAAACAAAGATATTATTTGATTTCAAATGCTTTTATTTGCTTTTTATGAATATGGACAATATTTTCTGAAAGCAAAAATTTTTTTTCGATGGAAAATGAATTTTAATACAATTATTTGTTATTTCTTTAATTATAATAGATTTTACATTTAAGTTGTTAAAATATTATAAAATTAGTTAAAAGCCACATCGGCTTTCCTAAGTGTCCTTATGAGATAGATCTTTTTAGCGCTGCAAAATTGTATCATTTTGACTAATCAGAAGATCCGCAGTAATTAAGAAATGTAATTTTGTGCTTATAACGGGACTGTAATTATAAAGTACGGAAGACCAACCAGAATATAATTGTTATGTTATTTGAGTTAAGCATTGTTCTCTGCTGTTAAGGCCTTTTACTTTTTTGTAAACACAGGTGGAGAAGTTAATTTGATTTTTCAATTTCAACTGAGAAGGGTACCTACAAGTATCAGTATCATCTTACAAAATTTATATGATCTTATTTTTATATTAATCTCAGTTATGACATTTTTCCATAAATGAAATATCAAAATTAATAATGAAATGAATGCAAATACAAATAACAGTAAAATGTAATAAATGTACATAAAATTATAGTATTTTATGTACAGTTCTGATAAAATTTCATAAGAAAGGTACCTATAAATTAATTAAATACCTTTCTTAGGAAATATGAAATTTAATGTCACTCTTAGCAGTCTTATTTTAATTTCTTTAGAATATACGTTCCATAAAGCATCATAAACGTAAAGGTGAAAGCTAAGTAAAAAAAAAAAAATTAGACTGCTGAAAGTTTTCGTTAAAAATAACAAGGTAAATAATTTGTTCACTTAAATGTAAATTATTTCACTTTTCTCCTTCCGTAGAACAAATTAGCCTCATGGAATTCGTAAATATGTCATTCATCACCTGTCAAGAGACACGAAAGTTTATGACCTGCTTTGTTTTATTTTCAAATTACATCTTTTTGGCACAAAAGCTAAGCTAAGTTTGGTTCAAAATATTTTAAATAAACATTATAATTTCTGATTTTCTTAAAATAACTTTTGAAAAAATGATAATTGATATTTAAAAGAATTTCAAAGTGAGATTTCCAGTTTTTTTATAAAATGGAAAAAAATGGTCAATTTTGCTGACTCAAAAAAAAACTAGATTTTTAATGAAAATTTCAGACGTGCTAGGAACGATTAAAAAATGGAAAAAAATACCCCCAAAATACTTTGATCTTTCTTCTTAATAATAACAAACATTTAGACGATAAAAATTTTATTTTCGTCAAGTTTGGCATGTCCTTAATGATGCTAAGTCACTATTTGCTGCTCGGATGAAGGAGTGTATTGCATCTTGCAAATTTGGCTCCAAAGATTGTTGGCGTCTCTGCAAGAGCGTATTGAACAATTGCAAACCCTCTATACCTCCTTTGTTCAACTAGTTCGAAGTCCTGACCTCCTCTGCCGACAAGGCTGAATGCTTTGCTCAGAAATTTTCATTCAACTTGACGCTCGACTCTTCCGGTGTACCCATACCTGACTTCCCTCTTAGAACTGAAGCCCTATTGAGTGGGTTACACATAACCCTGTCATTGGTATTGGGTGTTATCTCCAATTTAGACCCCAACAAGGCTAGTGGTGGTGATGGGATACCAGCCGTTGTCTTGAAGAAATGCGCGCGCCTGAACTGGCGCCCGCCCTTTCTAAACTATACAACTACTGCCTCAAGGAATCTTGTTTTCCTGACTGCTGGAAGTCCTCTTCGATCGTTCCTGTCTTCAAGAACTCAGGTGACCCCTCTGATCCTTCCAACTACCAACCTATCAGTCTCCTACCCCTATTCGGCAAAGTCTTCGAAGCCCTTATCAGTACCAAGGTGGTTAACCACCTTACATCCTATGATCTGCTCTCAGACAAGCAATATGGCTTCTGCTTTGCCCGATCTACAGCTGATGTGTTTACGGCCATCATTGAAACTGTCTACCGAGCTCTTCAAAATAATGGGGAAGCTCATACCGTGGCCCTAGACATCTCCAAAGCGTTTGATAGGGTTTGGCATGCCGGCCTTCTTCGCAAGCTCCAGGGTTATGGCATTACGAGTCGATTGTTTGACCTAATACAATCATTCCTGTCAAACCGTGAATTGAAGGTCGTTTCAACGGATTCTCCTCCAGTTCCTATTCCACAAATGCAGGTGTTCCTCAAGGCTCCATCCTAGGCCCCACTCTATTCCTTATCTACATAAATGACCTTCCTGACGCCATAAATTCCCAAGTTGGCATCTACGCGGATGACACCATAATTTATTCCTGCCTCAAAAACAAATCTAGTGTCACTGTCAAAACTAACCTTGCCGTGCATCTTGAAAAGGACCTCCAATCGGTTGTGAACTGGGGCAGGAATTGGCTGGTCAACTTTAATGCTTCAAAAACAAAACTGCTCTCTATTAATCATCACAGAGATCCTTCCCTGCCCTCCATTAGAATGTCTGACGCTCAACTTCTCGAGAGCACCTCTCTGCGGCTGCTCGGTCTCACGTTGATGGCTGACCTGAGATGGAACAAATACATTGAGCCAATTGCTTCATCCACTGCAAGGAAAGTTGGCTCCCTGTGCCACGCCAGGAAATTTTTCTCCCTGGAATTGATCCTCCAGATCTACCAATCAACAATTTGCCCTTGCATGGAGTGTTGCTGCCATATATGGTCTGGAGTCCCTTCCGTTTGCCTCGGGGTTCTTGATAGGCTCCAGAGGCGGATATGCAATATAATTGGCCCTGCTCTGGCATCTCATCTACAGTCACTTTTTTCACAGACATACATGCTCTCTCTGTCTGGTTTACAAATACTTTTATGGTAATTGTTCGAGGAGCTGCATTTGCTGGTTCCCAGACTTCATGAGTTCAAGCGCCCCTATGAGGCTGGCATCCCGCTCTCACACCTTTACTGTCGAAACTCCTAAATGTAGCCGCTTCTTCTACTCCATTAGCTTTCATGTCTCAAGTGACCTTTCGCCTGTGGAACTCCCTTCCCTATTCCAGTTTCCCTGAGAGCTATAATCTCCAGCTATTCAAATGTAATGTCAATCGACATCTCCAGTTGCCTTGATCTATCCACTACCCTTCTCCTCATCATTTCTTCTATCACTCCTATCTGATCTTGCTCCAATCCTTGCGTCCTAGTGGCTTTCCGCCTTGCTTGGGGTGAAACACTTAAAAAAAAAAAAAAAAAAAAAAGTATAAGGGGATTGAAGAAAGGATAAATGAACAGGGTTCAAGATGACAGAAAATGGTGATTGACATTGCATTTAAATTTTTGAAGTTTGTAGTTTTCAGGGAAGCAAGTAAACAGAAGGGAATTCCACTATCAGGAAGTGTGAGAAAAGAAACTATTGGAGAAGTGTTGGTGGTTACAATTAACTGTTTCAACAGTAAAAGAGTGGGACATAGATGCTAATCTAGTAGCATGCTTAAATTCATGAAGTCAGAGCACTAGTCATGAAAATAATTGTAGAAAAGACAGAAGGAAGCCACATCACATCTGTGAGAAAGTGACTGGAGTCGAGATGCCAAGTCAGGATCCATTACATTGCCGATCCTATTTTTGGGATCTTGTCAAGAACCTTGTGATGAATAGCAGGAGTACCAGACCAGATATGGCAACTGTATTCAATGTATGGTAGATTTGTAAATGTGCAAGATGATGAACTCTGATGAGAAAAACCTTCTGTCATGACACAATGAACCAACTTTCCTTGCAGTAGATGCACCTATTGATTCAATGTAGTTGTTCCACTTCATATCAGTTGAAAACATGAAGCCAAGAAGGCACAGTGAGATGCTCTCCAGGAGTCTACATTTTCCATGCTGATCCTTATTTAATTTTATTTTTCTCTTGTCCCTCCTGTATGCAATTCATTTTTTTTCAATTGGTATCACCCATGCAAAGCAGTAAAGCCACTAAACCACAAAATTATTAAATTTTTTTTATAACCTATAACAAGATTTTGATTAATTTTGTATCAAAATTAGTTTTTTAGTTTTTAAAGAAAATTTGTCATTCACTTTGTTTAAGCTTAGAATAGCTTTAAATTTAAGTAAATATTTTAAACTGTTTAAATTGTTGACTTCTTTTGTCAGAATCTTTCTGTAATTTCCAGTCAGTTTAAAAGTAAAAATGACAATTATTTATATTAATAAGAGGTACTAAAAAGTTCTTGGCCTGACCCACTTCTCAAAATTTGGTATTTCAATGTCCAAACATCAGAATATTAATTTTGGTAAGTGGGTCAGACTGAGAAGTTTGGGGAGAGGGTTGTATATACATATGCCTACATTTTCCTCTTTGTCAACCTCTGATGTTTTCATATTTTTTTAACTTTTTTTCTTTCTGCCGGCTGCTTTTAATCTGTTTAGACACACTTTCTCAATGCTCACAATGAAATATGAATATACACCAAGCACTTTTCTGTGCCTGGCCAACTTTTTACAGAACTTACAAAAAATTGATTTAATCATTGATATATAAGACTGTTTACTAAATTGCACTGTAAACATACACTCAACATCCAAATAGACGGTACATGATTTTTACCTCTAAAAGCTCTATTCAGTTTCTTTTCATCTTGCTATTACGGACTGCGAGTTGTCTGTTCTTGTGTGACACCTTTACATACGAATTCAATTGGGCTAATTCTTTAAAATATGGAATTGTCAGCAGGAGCTTTTGCTTACTGTAGTTACAATGTTATCTATGTGCGTATATAATGTATTTGTTAATCACCCAAAGCTAATATTAAGAAAAATTTTTGTTTGCTGGGGAATATTTTATTGAATCTAACTTTTATTTATTTTGAGCTTGTGACCATATCATGTTGAAACATTGGTTCCTGTATGATCACCAAAGTTAAGCAACATGAAGCCTGGTCAGTACCAACATGGGTGACCTCTTGGAAATACCAAGTGTTGTAAATGTGAATGTGCAGGTGATGTAATGGTTAATTAATTTTAATGAGAGCAAAGTTCCAATTCCAGTTGGGTTTGTTATAGTCACTTTAATGTAAATACACTTGGAGAAGGTATGAATCCACCTTTTCTCCCCCCAGCTTTGGGTTAATTAGTAGGACTTGTATTGCTAAAACATTATCTTAAAAAAAAAAAATCTTACAATCTAAAAATATTTTCTGGCTTTAAATAACCTGCAAAAATTTAAGGCATAGAAAATGAATGAATGAATCTTATTTCTTATTCTTTATTTCTTTTATCATTTTCATTTCTTTTATCTTCATTTTAATTGCTAATATTAGCTGTTTCCTTGTAAGGAAGCATTTGGCATTTATTAACCGAAATTTATAAAATCTTTCTATCAAAACAATTTTTTTTTTTTTCAGGAAAATAGGTTTCTCAAGTCTGGTAACTGTTATCACTCTTTCCATTATTGATGGGCTGTTTCCTTCCTAATCTTTTGTTTGAAGTAGTGTGGAATGTCAACATCTTGATTATCTCATTATTTTCTTCTCATTCCCAGTAGCTGTTATCACTCTTTCCAGTATTGATGGGCTGTTTCCTTCCTAATCTTTTGTTTGAAGTAGTGTGGAATGTCAACATCTTGATTATCTCATTATTTTCTCTTCTCATTCCCAGTAGCTGTTATCACTCTTTCCAGTATTGATGGGCTGTTTCCTTCCTAATCTTTTGTTTGAAGTAGTGTGGAATGTCAACATCTTGATTATGTCATTATTTTCTCTTAGAGTTGGATGTGCTATCCATTTTAGTTGTTGCTGCTGTTGAAAGTCCTCAATTGATGTGGTTTCTGTTATTGGGTACAGTTCTTTGTTTGCGATTCTGTAGCATCAATCCATGAGGCTTGAAAAGGATGTTCTTCATTATTTTTAATCATTGATCTGAGAAAGCAGTTGTATACAGTGAATAGTTTAGGTGTTTCTGAAGAGGACTGGTACCATGCATGTTTTCCACATGAAGATCTCCATCTGACGATACTAGTTAAGACCATTGCTTGAGTTTTTAGGTCAATGTTTAGTTTTGTCACAATTTACTGTGTTGAATAAAACTCATCTTAGCACAGCCTATCCTATATTCAATTTTCTTATCTCCTATACTAAATTTGTTATAACTGATCCATACATCGAGGTATTTGAAGTGTTTGGGATTTACTAATTCCACATACTGAGTTTTTAAGGTGGATTTGGGGTACATGCCATTACCAGATTCATTCCAAGAAGAGCATATGTTGGATTCAGGGCATGTGCCGTCACCAGATTCACTCCAAAAGGGGTACATGGCCAAGTGATTCAAATTTTCTGTCCAAAACACCTGGATTCAAATCTCACAATAGTCTTTTTTTTTTTTTTTTTTTTTTTTTTTTTTTTTTTCTCAAGCAAGTTGACTACATGATTTTTTTTTTTCTTTTTTTATAATTAAAATAATTTGATTAAAAACTATTTGGAGTTACTTGAGGAAGATTTGTTGCTACAAATGTTTTTCTCATTTCCAGGCTCATGAGAATTGTTGGCTTTTTGTCTTTTCTTCAAAATATATAAAAGGTGATTTTGATTCAAACAAAATGGAAGAAGAATCCATTTTTGTTTATAGTTTATCTCTAAGTAAAGAATTGATGATGGAGGAATGAATGGAAAGTAATTTTGTGGACATAATTGTTTTCATTATTTTTGTCTCACAAATTCACATTTGAAGCTTTTTTGTAAACTAAAATGATAATCAGGATAAAAATAAGAAATTAAATCTGATAACTAATATACCTATCCCATTCCTCCTTCTTTTAAGCTGCTGAGTCAGAGGATAAATGAATAACAAATAAATTGGCTTCTTTTTGTTTAATAATCTTTTCAGCTTTTTGGGATGATATTTCTGTATAATTTATACAGAGTGTGGTAGAAATACCTCCCATATAATGGTAAGACATTAGTGGCAAGGATGTCTTCATCTAGCTAATGGCTTACCATTATGTGGGTCATATTTCTGTCACAATCTGTATTTGATTAGTGTTCTGTTGAAACCTTTTGTGATTTATTTTTCTTTTTTTCATATTTTAATTTCAAAATCAAATCTAAGAATGTAAACTAGCAAAGGTATTTGATATTGGTTGGGCCCAAATTTATTTTAGTCTCTTGGACACAATTTATAGTTATAAAGCAAACTCTATTTTTAACTAATTTCCTCAATGCTGACACAGGTGCTTTGTGTTATATATATATATATATATATTGTTAGTATATATTACTTTTTAATTATGAAGTTCTTTTGTGAATAATAATGAAACTGATATACAATAAGAAAAAGTAAACAAACTAGGCATTGGTTAAACGTTTCATTAATCTCTTTTTGAATTTAATAAAAGATGCTGAATGAGGACAATTTTATTTTAAAGTTTTTCTCCTTTCTCTTTATATAAAGATATAAATTTAAAAAAAAAATTTTTGAGAGATATATATAGCTTAAGATTTCTTGAATATTCAGGCTGATATACGAAAATAAATAAATATACTGCTTAATAAATAAACGGGGCGTCTACTCAAATACGGGTATCCACTAAAATAACATTTAAAGTGATAAAATTTGTTGAATTAATAAATAAGAAAAAAATCGATTACTTATATAGTCAGTTGTATGGATATGAGTTTGTGACCCTGGGTTTCACACTTTTGTGATCATCAGACAAACTTTGATGATCACAAAAGTAAAACCCAGGGTTAGAAACTCATATCAATACAACTAAATATGTTGGCTCTATCACTGATATTGAGCACTGTCCACTAAGTACTCCACATATATACACACACACACACACACACACACACACATATATATATATATATATATATATATATATAAAGTTTCAAATTAAAATTATAATGTTTTATTTTATGAAAGTATTTATTCATTTATTTATATATATACATTTGATATTTCAAATTGTCCTCAATTTTTCATCAGAATAACTGTTACAAATAAATTAAAATTACAGTAATTTTAATTTATTTGTAACAGTTATTTCTGATGAAAAATTGAGGACAATTTGAAATATCAAATATATATATATATATATATATATATATATATAAATACTTTCATAAAATAAAACATAATTTTAATTTGAAACTTTTTCTATATATACATATTAAGAAAGTATACGTATTTTCATTATGCTATATATATATATATATATATATATATATATAGAGAGAGAGAGAGAGGAGTTCAGTCAATAATGTTTAGCTCTTTAAGTTTTTACTGTATTTTTAAAAAATTTAAAGTAAATCTGGATCAAAATTGTGGATAAATTGTTTAAATGTTTATACTTTTATGAAAGTTTATCCATAATTTTCATGTGGGTGTGAAACAACTTATTGGAAAATACAATAAAAATTTAAACTAAACTTACTGCTATACATAGGATTAATACAAGATATAAGATTTGTCACTTAGATGATTGATGTTATATTCAACACTCCAATTCCTGAATTTTGTAAACAAACCTTTGTGTAATTGTTCATTCATCAGAAGAGATCAGCAAATGTCTAGCAATTTTCTTGTTTTCATTATTTTTATATTAAAAAAAATTATTTTATCACTTTTTAATGGTGTTAGATTGATTTTTCTTTGTGTACGTGTGTAGAGGATGTTGTGGTTTTCTTTTCATAATTTTCTTGTCTCTTTATATTCTCTCATTATTTCTTTCCTTTCTTTTGTCTATCTTTTTGCACAGTGTATCAAAAGATAATGTAACAATGTTATTTCTGGGAACAGAAATGACTTGTGTAGAGGCTAATATTCCTGAATATTCTGGGGTTTTCTAAAGTTTTTGAAAATATAGGTCTATTTCTATTTTTTTTTTTTTTTTTTTTTTTTTTTTTTTTTTAAATGTTTAAATAATTATTTTTTTTTTTTTTTTTTTTAAATTAATGCTTAAAAAATAAAACTTTTAGTTACCATTTACAGTGTCTTTCAAGACTTGTAATTTTTCAAAATGGGTATTTGTTTATTTTTGGCTCTCCTAAGATTAAGCATTTCTTTTCCTGTTTGGTGAAAGTAATAAAGCTAAGTGAATGAAATTATTTTGAACTATTGACCTTCTTATGCATGCCTTTTTGAAAAAAACATAAGTACAATGATAGATCTTGGGAGTGTCCAACATAAAGAAATGTCCATTTTGAAAACTTGTTTTGCATGAGAGACGCTATAAATAGGTAATTATATAAAAAATGTTATTTTTGTGTATTAAAAAGCAATTGAGCACTTTTTCTATAATATAAATAAAGGAATAAACGAATAGTGTGGGTGTGGAAAAACACTTTATTTCACTTTCTAGATTTGCCCGTTCTTTAGCTATCCGTCTGCCTCTTTTGTTTTTGTGGCTTATGGCCATATCAAGTTGAAACACCAGTTCCTGTATGATCACTGAAGTTAAGCAATTTCAAGCTTGGTCATTACCTAGATGGGTGACCATTTGGGAATATCAGCTGCTCTTAGTGTGGATGTGCAAGTGGTATAATTGATAATTGCTCTGCATCATTAATTGGAGAGCTAGAGTTCCAATTCAAGTTGAGTCCATTATATTCACTTACATGCAAATGCCTTTGGGAAAGGCATGAATCCACCTTTCCCCTCACCAGCTATGGGTTAATTAAGATTTATATCACTAAATCATTATCTCAAAAAAAAAAAAAAAAATTCTTACAATCTAAAACATTTTCTGGCTTTAAATAACCTGCAAAGGGTTGATAAACCATAGAAAATAATGAATGAATTAATTTTTTTCTTCCTGATTTCTCACATTTTTACTTTTTTGGGAAGCTTTTGGGCCTAAACCATATTTTATTGTATTGAGGAAAAAGACAATAGGGAAACTGTAGTTTTAGCCGCGATGTGTTTTGTCCAATGTGGACTTTTTCAAGGCATGTGTGTTTTTGTTTTCAGTATCGACAAATAT